AAGGATAGTTGGTCAAGCAGATGGTAGAATAAGTCAGCGGCAAATTTTGCAGAGTTTGGGAATGCCGCTTTCGACAATCGACAGAATCATCGTGCAGTTCAGGAAACACGGCAAGGACACAACTGGTCCATCGGAGAGGATAAAAAGGGCTGTCAAGAGGAGCAGCGAAATGGATCCCAGATTAACGACTGCAGAAGTGGCCAAAGTTGGTGGGATGAGCCCGAAATCTGTTAAACGGATTCTCCACAGATTGGGTTATCGTTGCAGAGCAGCTAGACGGAAGCCCTTATTAAGACCTGCCAACATAGTCAGACGAAAGAAGTGGGCAAGTGATATGATGACCAAGCCTCTGGACTTTTGGAAGACCGAATTGTTCTCAGACGAATCAAGATTCGCTCAATTTTCGGACAGTGGAAGGATATGGGTCTGGAGAATGCCTCACCAAGAGTTTTGGCTCAACAGATTGCAGCCAACAGTGAAGCATGGTGGTTTCAGAGTGATGGTTTGGGGAGCTGTTTGGGTTGGTGGGAGATCGAGCTTAGTGGAGTGCGTTGGCAACATAAATTTTGCGAAATACGTCGAAATATTGGAGGAAGGACTCTCGCCACTTTATTCCTTGGGTTTCGTGGACAAGAACACAACGTTGTTCCAGGAAGATGGAGCACCGTGTCATACTGCTAGAAACACCCAAAAGTGGCAGGAAGTTTGTTTGTTTGTTTGTTTTGAATTTTCGCGCAAAGCTACACCAGGGCTATCTGTGCTAGCCGTCCCTAATTTAGCAGTGTAAGACTAGAGGGAAGGAAGCTAGTCATCACCACCCACCGCCAACTCTTGGGCTACTCTTTTACCAACGAATAGTGGGATTGATCGTCACATTATAACGCCTCCACAGCTGAAAGGGCGAGCATGTTTGGTGTGACGGGAATTCGAACCCGTGACCCGCAGATTGCGAGTCGAGCGCCCTAACCACCTGGCCATGCCGGGCCAACTTTTTGTATCAACATTACTTTCTGACAGGTTTCCATTTTGCAGTTGTTCAGATTATTATTGATTTTTTTTCTTCGTCACCAGGAGACCGAACATGCTTAGCTCGTGATGTTTATCAAATTAATTGGACATACGTAAATTTGATTTCCGTAAAGATATTTCATGCGCAAGGTAATCTAATACATGACCGGAAATTACAAGAAACTGACCATAACTAATATGAATAAAACAAAAATACTAGGTTTTTTTTCCCCACCTTAACTGCTTAAATAGAATAACATCGGAGAGGTAAGTTTGTACGTTTCTCGTAAAAACATTCTAACCCAGCCCAATAGCAATTCAATAGTCCCGAACATTTCACATATCATTTCTGTCACGTAATGATCAGGAGCTCAAGTTCTTGCCGTTTAACTAACGGAACGGAACAAGGAACTGTAATATTCGGAATAAAATATCACGCAATTATTATGGCATGCTCCTCTGTTGGAAATTCAGATTTATACCCTTGAAAATAGAAAGAAGTAAAAAGATTTAAATATTTCTATAACAATTAAAGAATAAGGAATTTAGCCAAATGACCAAAACTATTCTTAAATATTTAGAAAAATAGGATGGATTTTTTACTAGAGATTTTTTTTTTCGATAAAACATTCACTTTATATCAAAATATACAAACTATTGTGAATATTCTTCCAAGAAAAGAACAATAGACATCTCTTTCCAGTTGTTTCAGATGGGTTATGTGGGGCATTACTTTTTTGTTATTCAACAGGTTTTGTTGCAGTCCAACCTGACCTGACGCAAAGTATTTTGAGAGTACCTCCACACTTACGTCAGGAAAGTCACAGAGAATTGAATGGTAGTGAAAAATCAGATCTACTCACTACTCCGAATGTAGCTTTCTTTGCAACCCAACGATTCAGTATGCTTAATTCTACAGATAAACATCCTTGCAGAGATTTGCCAGTTTCAGGTAAGGGTGTGGAGTAGTTTTTCTCACATAAAGTGCAAGAATAAGGACATCAATATTCTTGATACACATGACACTATGAATGGCCAGTTGAATGAACAAAAGAAATAACTAGAAAGGCTGTATTGTTCTTTCGAATAAAGGATGCAAATAGAGTATATTTTAGCCGATTACTTAAAGGAACTGGAGTACTGCAGAACAAGAAGAATAACAATACAAAGTAATTTATGTGTGCACAGAATTAGATTAGTTTGCCAGCTATTACGACTTATTCGTGCTGAAATCCGACTTCGTATGTTTACAAAATGTTTCCTTAACATAATACGGGAACTGGAAAAACTTGTAGAAGGTTTCAACGTATTAAATAAAATTTGTGATTTGTGAACAACCCTATTTCTTCAAGTAAATTTAATTTTATATATTTTCTGTGTCAAAAATGTGTTGAATGCTTCCTGCAACGAAATCTCCATAACACATACATATGTAAGATTTATATTTCACCCTATCTATGCAGGATCACGGTCAGGTTCCATGTATTTTTCAAATGTATTTTCAACCCGCAACTCAACAACATCTGCCGTGCTGCTACCTGGTGTCGATACTGAACGTTTATCGTGTAAAGTTTTCACTAAAGATGGAGGTAGAGTGTCGCTGCCTCACTTCGGTAAGACTGTAAGGCTATTTGAAAGTTTCGTTTTTGTCCTAATAACAGGTGTCTTACATACATTCATTATGTGTGTTTGTGAAATATAATATAAACTTGAACTGTTCAGTATAAACACCTAAACGAAGAAGAGACTTTTGAAGGTGTTGTTAAAGAGAATCGAATAAGGGAATATGGATGCTTTCTGTTATCTATTAATATTTCATTTCTATAAGTATATTTATATTTGTTTTTTGTATAAATAATGTTTATTTCATATCTAAAAACTTTAGGAATATGTTGATTAGTCATTGACATTAGCCCAATTAATTTACAAATAATAGTTTTTGTTTCATTTTTGTCTTTCAAAAAACATAGGCTACTTTAATCATAAGTTGATTTGTTGTGTTTTTATGTTGTTCCTCAGGAATTTCTGTTACTGTACCCAACGGTGCAGTAAAGAAAGGAGTTAAAGAAAAAATGTATGTGACTCTCTTAATGGAGGACAAGGACCGACCAAAGTTAAGTGGTAAGGATTGCTGACGACCACAAGCGTGATAAAGACGATCTGTTTTTGTTTTTTCAAACACGTGATAAAGACGACCTTACCACCCCACATGAATATATATATATTTATTTTTTTACTTTCTCACTCTTTTGTTCTTATTTTTTGCCGCGGCGTAGCGGAACATAGAACGGCTCTGAGTTTCTAATTCTTTCTATTCAAGTACATACTTTTATTTCATAGCTGCGTCATCTCTTGATTGATTTGAGATCTAATTACAGTTTTTAAATCAGGAGGTCAAATCCTTTCGATTGGTGTATTTGATCACGACCAAGGTCTCATAGATTAATTTATTCTTATCATGTCTAAAATAATTTCAAATTGAGGGTAGGCTGGTAGCGATTCTGATGAGTAATAAAACTGAATTGAGTATACGCACGCCTCACGCTTGGCATTGCTGGCGCACAAATATATAGCTAATAAAAAGGGAAAAAAAGGGCCACAGATCAATTTACTCTAATCCTGTCTAAAAAAATTTCAAGTGCCGCAGCTATTGAGGATTCCCTTTTGTTTTCTAATCAAACGTTTCTATACCACTACAAGGACTTTGATATGACTGCAAAGTTACAATCCAAATCAGTTCTTTGGTAAATAGCAACTTTAATAAGGTCAGAAATAAATACGTATGAAAGGTAGTAAGTTTCTTTGTAGACATGTCAAACATCCATGTATGTTCATGAAATCGAAACGCTGTAGAATATACTGATCTAGCATCTAAAAATTAAATTAACTTGTGTATGAGTACAAACATTGAAAAGCTAACGAGCAGCTTAGGTTATTGACGAGCGATCGAACATTTTATTGCGTTCATGGAGGTTTTTCTATGTATTGTTTCGGAACAGGCCTTGAACTTGTATATTTTTTAAAAATCTAAAATTATTTAGCAGTTTTGTTTGTCGTGGAACTAAAAAATGTCTTTATTACTATACACATGTGAAGCTAAACAATCTACTCTTTATTTAAGGTTGTATATTTAATAACAGGTTTTAATCCCTTTAATTTGATAATGGATTTCTTTTTGCAAGAAATAAAAACAACTGACTATATATAAAAAGAAAATGTCTTGAATAAATATTATAATATTTTATAACTGTCAAAAGAGAAGGAAAATCAACCTGTTTACTGTTTACTGTTTCTTTGTTTCATTATAGAATAAATGAGGTTAAAATATGATGAAAAACTTTCCCCATAAATGTTTTCATTTACAAAAGTGTAAATTCCATAAGTATAACACTGATACATTCTGTTGTTTTACGTTTACAGATAAACAAACTGTCCTCAGTCCAGTTGTGCAGATTGGGCCACCTGGTATTAGTTTACAAAAACCATTGGTTATCAGCTTTCAGCACTGTGCCAATCTTGCCCCTTGTAAGTGGAACATCGGTGTCTATTGTAGCGACACCTACAGCCGAGATGAAGAAAATCTGATCTGGAGGGTAAGTGTTTTTAAGTTATCATAATCATAACTAACTCTTTTAAATACTAGGTTTTAAGTTTTCCAAATACATTTATGTTGTAATGACGTAGTTAGCGTTATTTTCAGCTTTCGTCATATACTAGATTATAATTCCACTTTAATTTTTACCTTTTTTTACTTGCACAAAACGGCCTAAAAACATGCATTCTACCATATTACCTTATGTCATTATTCGAGACTTAGTGTGGGCTTAATCGTTTTGTATCTTATTATAAACCTTCAGTTTTTTATTAATTTCTTAATGTTTTTTGTGATATTTCAGCAAATTGTTACCTTAGGCCAAGAGACTGTCAACACCCCACTTTACTGTCACTTAGAGCCACAACATTGTAATATAGTTACGGATCACTTGGCTCGTTATGTATTGGTTGGAGAGTCATTGCCGGACCAAAAGGCTATTAAGTCTCTTTCATTGGCAGCCTTCGCTCCATCAGTACATTCCTCCGTGGACTATAATATACGTTTGTACTGCGTGGAAAATACAAGTGCTGCATTACAGGTTTGTACTGTAATAACATTTGTGTTAAGTGGCAGTGCGTATATCTATACATTACGATAAATATATATATATATACAGAACAAAAGCTTAAGATATAACTTTTTCAATTAATCGAACAATATGTGAAATCTTGGCGATGAATAGTACAAAATTTTAATTCTATGTTAATATTGTAATGCATATTTTGTAAATTTTAATTTAGAAGTCTGTTTTCTTGAGGGCGCTTGACGTTATGATCGAGAAGTTTCGTGTAATATGAGGAAATACGAATGCAATATAATTACACAAGCAGTTCAATGTCAGAAAAGTTATTCAGTTCAGTGAGAATTACTATGTATGTTATTTGTGATCCCTTTAATAAGTTAGTCAATGAGTCAACGTATTTGTGGTTGCTTGAATAGCGAGCCTCACCTCCCAGTGGATCAGCGACAAATCAGCAAACTTACGACGTTAAAGGGCAGGTCTCAATACCCGTAGTGGGCAGAGCGCAGATAGCCTCTTTTTTAGCTTTGTTTTTAGTAACAACGAAACCATGCCATTGATTAGTGAAGAATTTACAAATAAATCTATTGCTATAAGTAAGTTAGACGTATCTTAATTTTCAGAATTTCTGTTGAAACTTTGTATTTGAAGTTAGGTCTATAGTCTATTTTCAAAAGTGTATCTATGAAATTAGGCCTACAAGTGGACATGGCGGTAGCAAATGTTTACTGAAGAAATCAATTCTCTATCTTTATATGAGCTGAACTTCTCATTATTTTTAGAACCCATCGAACGGCAGAACATAACACAACACTAAAAAGTTAATGCTCTTTCCCAGATATCTAACAGTATAACAAACTCTTTCTTTAACAGTTTTGCAAGTTTGGTTTGGTATTTGTTTAGCGCAAAGCTACACAATGGGCTATCTGCGCTCTGTTCACGATGAGGAACTGAACCCTAGATTTTAGCGTTGTTCGTCCGTAAACTTACTGCTGCTCCGCCGGGGGTACGAGTATTTCTTTGCTTAAACTTTATAAACAAAAATATTTTACTCATCCGAAACTTTACGATTTAGAGCCAAGCAAAGATGAAGACGGTTAACAAAACATGAAACATTTTTATTTATAAGATTCGAATGTTTTGGAATACACTTATTCCACCTTCAGCGAAATCTGAAATTAGTGTTACAAAGATATTGATTAACTAATGCTATAGTATCATCAGTTGCATGAAACAGTAATAACCATTCTTAACAAACAGCCGAGTTTTTAAATGTATAAATTAGAATAATTTCAGGTCTAAAGAGGTTCGTAAGGAGGGCGGTCTTTAGCTATGAGTAAATTGATTTATTTAACATAATTGTCAGTTGTACTTTTATTATGAAGCTGTTGTTTTTCTTATGAGATTTTCCTAATTTATTTTTTACTATAATTTCAAATAAACTATAAATTCCGATTTCATCTGATAAGTAAAACTCAAAATGTTTATTACTTACCATATAAACTTATCTGTACTCATCTAACTTCATCGCCAGCTGTTCTAAATGTGCAGAGTCGATATCACACGTTCTTGCAAGTTTAATGACTTCTCAACCAATTATTGTCGCAAAAGAAAAAGAGACAGGGTGCAATTTCGTCTAATCAAGGCTATATAAAAATAAAAAACAAAAAAATTAATTGTAAAAATAGATATTTATTAAAGTTTTTTTTATCTCTTCACAAACGCTACCATTCGCACAGCGGTAAGTCTGAAAGCTTATAATGCTTTGTTTGTAATTAAGCACAAAGCTACACAATGAGTTATCTGTGCTCTGTCCACCACGGGTATCGAAACCCGGATTCTTGCGTTATAAGTTCGCAGACATTCCGCTGTGCCACTAGGGGCGCTTATAATGCTAAAAACTGACAGACAGCCCATTGCTTAACAACAAACAAACTCTTCATAATCATTTTTTTTCTTAAAAACATAAAAAAACGCATATAAAACTGATAAAAATTATACTTCACTAACTTTTCGAGTTCACACCATAAGAACTGTTGTTCATGCAAGTTGGTGGTATAAATAACGGTTCAACCATTGCTGTGTTTGTTGTCTACAAAACGGCCTGGCCAACTCTGGTATTGAGCGAAAGACCTCGTTGGCACTGGATATGACATATATAGTGTGATTGGCGTATTGTTATGCATTATTCTTCACTCTCACATTTATGTTCTTAGAATGCTATATCTATACATTTTACAAAGCCGTGGTTACATCAAGGTAAAATTTAAGGAGCATGAGAAATACTTCCATTCCAAAACAATAAATCCCATTTGACTTAGCCACCAAAATTTTCTTTTGGTACAGTCTTAAAACTCTTTTCCCATTAGATTACACTGATAACTAGTTTATCGTTTTATCGCTGTCGTTACAAACGAAATTGGGGACAATAAATAACTGCTTGTTCTTATACTTAAAATACACGAAACTAAGTTCTACAGTTCGATGACGAGGAACTCACTTTGAGACTAATAATGGCTGGAGACGGCTT